CCTTGGGTGTTTTCTCTATCTATACTATAGGTCCCATCCACTTCATAGGCTTAAGTATAATTTTCTAAAATTTAGGTCTCCAGCCTAGAACTCTTCCCCCAATTTCTGGCTTGTATACCAACTGCCCATTAGCATTTTGCTTTGGGTGTCTGATATCAATATCTGCAGAATGGATAGATTCCCCACCAAAACCTACTTCCCCTAAAGCACTTCCATAAATGGCACCCATAGTGTCTAGTTGTGCAGACAGAAAACTTCTGAGTCATTCTTTTTTAATATAGATTTTGCTGAGACATAACACTGATCCCAAAAAGTGTGCAAATTACAAGGTACAACTCAGTGAATGTTCACAAAGTGAGCACATTTATAGTCAGCATCCACATCAAGAAATAGACATTTCAAAAAAAAAAATACACATTTCCCCAGAAGTCCTTTGGTTCCTTTTGTAATCAGCAGCTCTGTGAAGGTATTCAGTATCTGGCTTCTAAAACCATAGGTTAGTTCTGTGTATTTCTGAAATTTATATAAATGAAATCACATGGTTTAGGCTTGTTTGTATCTCATTTCTTTCATTCAACATTATATTTGTGAAATTTGTTCATATGAAGGCATACAGTTTTCTTTTTTTTTGGTATCAGGAATCGAACTCGGGTCCTTGCACTTGTGCAGCAGGCAGTGAAACCATGGAGCTATATCCCCGGCCCAAGGCATACAGTTTTAATCTTTCCATTCTCATTGTAGTAGTTTCATTTTGTATAATATGCTTAATCATTCTATTTTTTTGAAGTGGGAATACACATTTATTATTATTGTTATTATTATTTTGAGACAGGGTCTCACTATGCAGCCCAGGCTGGCCTTGAACTTGCAGTGATCCTCCTGCCTCAGTCTCCCAAGTGTTGGGATCACAGCATGCACCACCATGCCCAGATGGACATCTATTGAAGGGGGAAAAGAAGTATGCTTTGCAGTGAACAGACCTAGTCCTTTTATTCCTGATAGGTGTTTACATACTTTCTAGTTTGGGGCTCATAGTGATAATGCTGCTATTGTCACGAACAGGGTCTGAGGAGGATTCCACAGCACAGGTAAGGAACGCAAACCCACCCTGCCCACAGAATGAGTTTGCAGGTTTCCTGACTCCTGTCTCAGGAAAAAGAACTTTCAGGACACATCAGTAAGGGGCATAAAGAAATTTATTAGGCAGATGTAAAAGTACATACTCAAAGAAATGAGTGTGGGCCCTCAAGAGAGATGGAGGGATCCTATTTCCTGGAACTGGGAACATTTATGGTGCTCTTTTTTTGGTACTGGGGATCAAACTCGGGACCTTGTTCTTTCGAGGCAGGCGGTGGCACCACTGAGCTAAATCCCCAGCCCCTATGCTGCTCTTGAGGAGATGGAAACCCAAGGGAAAAGTAGTCCAAGCCCCAGAAGGGTACTGGCTCAATTTATAGCTTTATGCCTTGTTTTTTTCAAAGGTGAACAATTTAAGCATTCTTTGAATTCTCTCACCTGTTCCTTTATCTTAGGATCAGGTTCCTATTCTTACTTTCTCAACTAAGGCAATGTATGGACCTACAGTATTCTTGAGGAATTTGGGTGTGACGGTCCAGAAGGAGAGGAGTTTGTGGACAGGCATAGCCTTGGGTAACTTCAGTTGTGTCCTGGAAGTTTTGGTCTTCTTAAAAGTACAATTGAGAAAGGAGTTGGGCTTAGGGAGTGAGGACCCCAAAATGGAGTCAGGAAGCCCAAACTGCAGTCTGCTGAGTCATCACCCTCCAGGGACCACACAAAAACATCTGCCAGGTGTCCTATAACTGTCAGGGACTTCCCCAGAGCATGATTAGGCAAGCCACTGGCTCAAGGGCACATGGGCCCTGCATGGGCACTGTGTAAACACTGCCTAGAATATGTAGTCTCCAATGAAGTAAAGATCATGTTGCTTGCACAACAGCCTGAGACACTTAAAAACACCACGACAAGGAGCTTTTTTGGGTATCCTGCTGAGGACCCCTCCCAGCTAGTGGGAGATCTACTTCTTTACCGTTTGTCTTTTAATTACATTTCCTTGCACCCTACCTCCTCCACCTGTGGTTTCGTTCTTTATCACCGCAGGACATGACCCTCATGTTCCAGCAACACAATTTTATTTTTTTTGTTATCGGGGATCGAACTCGGGTCCTTGTACTTGCGAGGCAAGTGGCAGAACCACTGAGCTAAATCCCCGGCCCTGCAACACAATTTTAAATTATGATTTTCCTTGTCTCTTTTCTACCTGTCTTTATTTCTTCTATCCTCCTTTACTATGACTAATCTATGTCTTTCCATAAACCTAGGTAAACATTTCTGTTAGGGTATACACCCAGGAGGCATATATTCAACTTTAGTAGATACTCCAAACAGTGATTGTAGTTGGGTTACTGGGTTCTGGAATACCATGGGATATTTCCAGAGATTCTTTCCAGATTCTTGTTGCCTTGAGTGAAGAACTGGACAAGACATCCACCAAAAGTAGTGAAGTTTTACATTTATTAAAGGTAGGAAAAGAAGTATGCTCTGAAGAGTGAGAGCAGAGCACTGAGAAAGAGGGCATGGTAGCCACGAGGTTAATGGCTGGTGTCTTTTGCATCCTCCATTCCTCAGACTGACATCAGATGTAGGCTGTCCAAGAAAAACCTGCTTGATCTCACAGCAGAAGAACTGAAGATAGCTCCTTCTGATTGGACCCAGGTTCAGGGCTTGGAAACTGTTATTCTGCACATGTGTCCTGGATCTCCAAGACTGAGAGGTCATGCTCCCTTGCCAAGCTGGCTGGCCACTTCCTAATCTCGTGCCTCAGTTGCACCAAAATTTTTTTCTTTTGGAGACAAGGTCTGGTCTTGAACTATGTAGCCTAGGCTGGCCTTGAACTTGCAGCAATTTATCATACCAACAGCAATGCATGAAAGTTCTGAATGTTCTATATCCTTGCCAATATGGTCTTTTTCTTCTTTCCTTTCTTGTTTGTCTTTTGCTTTATATCTATTTTGGTGGGTAAATAGTAGTATCATATTGTGATTTTAATTTGCATTTTTTTGGTACCCGAGATCAACTCGGGTCCTTGCGCTTGCGCAGCAGGCAGCAGGCGGCGAAACCACTGATCTAAATCCCCGGCCCTACTTTGCATTTTTTTAAACAAGAAAAGCTTTAAGTTAGAGGTAAGATAGGAAAGGACTCTGGCTTAGATAACTGGAGGGGGCACACATAGAGGGATTCAAACTGGCCCACCTACAAGGCTGGTGGCAGCTTTTAAGGATTTTAAGGTGGGCTGGGGTCTGCTTGCTCATTACTTCAGTCCTAGTGTCATAGCTCTGGAATCCTTCTGACTGAGGAGTCATCCCATTTCCAGGAAAGGATCATCTGTGGGGCTCCCCCTTTCTTGGAATCCAGGTGAACACAGGTTTAGGACAATTGCTCAAGGCTTCTGAGCGTGGCTGAGGTCCTTGTAAACCTCTTATCGTGTTGTCCTCAGTCTAGAAGGGGATGAGACCCTGTAATTTAGGGCTAATCAATCTTGTTTTCTCAACTTTTGGACAGAGACTCCTTAAATTTAAATATAAAATGTATATAATATATAATATATAATATATGATATATATATATATATGTGGCTAAGAAGAGATTTGACCCAAGATATATAGTAACAAAGGATACAAAATGAGGATCAAACTTTGTTCTGCTTTTAGTTACCTATTGGGCATTTGTAGGCCCAAGTGAAGAGTCAGAATAAGTGGCTTTTAAGTCTGGCTGTTTCAGGAGAAAACACAAATCATGCTTTTAATAAGCATCAGATAAGAACCTGGATTCTGCCTGTTTCACCAGCCATATGGTGATCCCTGAATATCTTATACTGAATCATTCCCCGGAGAGACTTTTTTTTTTCTTTTTTCTTTTTGAAGACAGGGTCTCCTTATGTAATTCAGGCTGGCCTTGAACACACTACATAGTCCAGTCTGGCCTCGAACTCACAGCGATCCTCCTGCCTCAGCCTCCAGGGTGCTGGGATTACAGGCGTGCACCACCATGTCCTGCTCTTGTGAGCCTTTTTATCTTCCTTAGTTTTGGTTTGTAAGCCTTGGTTATTGAACATCTAGGTCAATTATACCAGTCTTAACATGGGAGTGTAAGTCTTAATCCTAATGTAATTTTCTCTGGATACTGGGAATCAGTGTCATATCACAGCTATCTTATGGGAATGGCTTATTATGTCCAAATAATGTACAGATTGTCTGTTAGAAATACTCCTGAGGAATGTTAACAGACCACAGTTATAAAGTTTTACAATGAAAATCTAAAACAAAGATGATAAGAGCAAACAAATCTAGCATAATAAAGAAACATAGTAAATCTAGCTTTGTCAAAATTAGTGTTCTTTTAAGCAGAATGTCCTTGTATATAGATGTACTTCACAGGTGATTAATTCCTAATCTTGAGCTACTAGAGTGACACTGCCTATAGTATATAGTATTTAGGCACATCTTTCATAATACAACTAGAAACAAAAACATAGGCCTGAAAAAAAACCACTTATCATTACGAACAATTTGGTTTTGAGTGAAGAAGTAAGTCAAAGTGTTTTCTCAAGCTCTGTACTTTAGAAAGCTTGTACACTTCGGGAACATAAATGCATTTTACATACAAAGAAGTCAGTAATAATCAGCATCACGGTTACACAGACATTTTTACATATCAACTGAGCTTTTTATTTTTTGTTGTTGTTGCCGGGAATCGTACTCGGGTCCTTATGCTTGCAAAGCAGGCAGTGAAACTACTGAGCTAAATCCCCGGCCCTTAGCTTTTTACTTTTAAGGGAAAATTTGGAATCTATGTCTCAGCAGTACAGCTATAATGATGTGCTTTTGTATTTAACAGAGCTACGAAGTTTACTGACAAATCAAAGAATAGCTTTAGATCTCTTACATGTTATGAAATAGTGTTAATAACCACAAATAATTTTATTACATGATATACAACTTTATATCATTTATACAAAAACAGAAATGACTACTGTACTTAGTTGAAGCTAACAGAGGTAGGCCAGGTTTTAAATGGCGGGACTATCCAAACAGTAGAATAATAGCAGAAATGTTAAATTTTACTGACCATTTGATATGCTGTTTTTTTTTTTCTTTTCTTTTCTTTTTTGAGTCAGGGTCTCCCTATGTAGTAGTTCAGGCTGAACTTGAACTCACTATGTAGCCCAGCCTGGCCTCAAATTTGAGGTAATTCTCCTGACTCAGCCTCCCAAGAACTGGGACTATAGGAGTGCACTACCATGCCCAGTCATTTGATATGTTTAGGATCCAGATGAGTACAGTATAAAAGAGCACTTACTGGTTACTATACCTGTATCAAACTTATACATATTTAGCTTTACTAACTTTGCACATTTACACAGCACATTTAGTCCTCAGATGTATACGTCTCTAATCTCAGATACAGTCCTCCCCTATCAGAAATCAAACTCAGGACCTTGCACTTGCCAGGCAGGCATGGCACCACTGAGTTAAATCCCTGGCTCCTCAGATATAGAGTTTTAAATATACTATAATAGAAAAAAAAAGTAGCTGTTCTTTTAATCAGTGTTATAAATTGATTCTTTAAAAGTTTTTTTTAGGTAATCATGGCTTGTGTTGGTCTTGTCCAGCCCCTCGCTGCCCATTTGTTATCTCTTGGGCTGTTTCACCAAATCCTGCCATTCTCCTCCTATTTCAACCCCCTCCCCTGGATTTCTATCCTTAATCTGAAGGAGAGAGGAGGGGTGGCAGTTGTTTTCTGGAGCTGAACTGGGGCAGCTGGCCTTGCCTCCCAGAGGAATAGAAATGCTTAGATGCTGGATCTAGGAGCTCCGGTGGCAAGCTGTGGCTTTTGGTAACTTGCAGGTGTAGGCTGGAAGCTAAGCACGGCCATCATCTACATGGAACTGCTGTAATCTGGAAGAGACAAACTTGGAACTAAAGTTAAGCAAGCGTGGGCCAAATACTAGTACCAGTAGTTTTAAAAATCCAAACTGTGTCAAATATAGATGCAAGTACTGTACATCTAGAAAAGAACACATAACATACTTGGGAAGGGAAAAGCTCAAAATTTTTGTTTCTAAACCTTGCCAGGCTTTTTTTTTTCCTTCAAAAACAAAGTGGTTTTTAAAAAAACAATCACATTTTGGGCCGGGGATTTAGCTCAGTGGTTCTGCCACCTGCCTTGCAAGCACAAGGTCCCCAGTTCAATACCCGGTACCAAAAAAAAAAAAAAAAATCACATTTTTAAGTACTTAATTTAAGCAAAGACTAAGACAGTGTAATAATAGCAGTTTATCTATGACAGAAAAGTAAGCAAGGCTTTTTAACACACATGTCTTGAAAATATTAGTATTAGGTCACAAAAACAAACCCATAGGGGCCGGGGATTTAGCTCAGTGGTTTCACCGCCTGCTGCACAAGTGCAAGGACCCGAGTTCGATCCCCAGTCCAAAAAAACCAAACAAACAAACCCATTAACAGATCAGGTAGGTCATAGGTATTGACTCTATAGCAAAATAATTTTTTTTCTTAAAACTAATTGTTATTAGAATACTAAATAAGTTGTTCTTATACAAGTTATTAACTGTAGGATATCTTAAAATGATGAATAAATCTCAGTCACTTTGAAACTTATTTTTTTGGTACCGGGGATCGAACTCAGGACCTGGTGCTTGCGCAGCAGGCACCAGAACCACTGAGCTAAATCCCTGGCCCCTGAAACTTATTATTATTATTATTTTTGAAACTTATTATTTAAAGCTCATTTTAAACTTATTGATCTATAGATTGACAAAAGTCTCCAGTTTTAGATACTTATTATTCCTCTAGTAACTCTGAAACTTCTTTTTTTTTTTTTTTTTTGGTACTGGGGATCGAACTTGGGACCTTGCGCTTGCAAGACAGGCGCTGAAACCACTGAGCTAAATCCCCGGCCCATAACTCTGAAACTTATTAAGGGTCAGATATTTTTTGATCTTATCTATATATATATAAATATCAGTATTTCTTTTTTTGAAACAGAGTCTCTCGCTATGTAGTTCAGGTTGACCTCGAACTCACTATGTTGTTCAGGGTGGCCTCAAAGTCGCGGTGATCCTGCCTCAGCCTCCCAAAAGCTGGGATTACAGGCGTGCACCACCATACCCAACTATATCAGCAATTTATGAAATATATTTAATAGATCCAAATATACTCAGGTGTTCTGTTATAAACATTTATTCCATTTATATTTAATTTACCTATAAAAATCAAGACATTAAACCAACATAATATTATTATTTCTTTGTCAAAAGAAACCCTAAAAGTCACTATGCTTGAAATATAGAAAGCAATGGACATTGTATCTTACATTTTAACAAAGATAAATATCCTAATCGGCTAACAATTTAAGCAAAACATATTTTACTAACTTTAAAGACATCTTTACTCTTATATCCCAATTTAAATAAATTCAATTTGTTAAAGGTTTACCTAGTTGATGTGAACAAAAGGCACTTGGACTAATTTGTTTATCTATATTTTATCATGTAGGTACACAAACATGAATATATCAACCAAGATATATATATATCTTTTAAGGTTTTATGTAAACCACAAGCCTAGCAGTCTTTATAGGAATTGTTGGGCCAGGTGTGGTGGTGCATGACTGTAATCCCAGTACTCAGGAGGCTGAGGCAGGAAGGTCCCTGTGAGTTCAAGGCCACCCTAGGATACATAGTGAGTTCAAGGCCAGCTTGAACTACATAGGACATCCTGTCTCAAAAAGCCAAAAAAAGAAAGAAAAGAGAAGTAATTAAAAAAAATTATTGTATTTTTTTTCTGTATTAAATTCTTTTATTGGTATGTTGTAGGTATACAACACAATTACATTTCTCATTGGGAATTGTACCTTTATGTAATGCATCTTGGTTCTTATTTTTTCCCCATTCCTAGCCCTTCCTTCA